GAAATTAAAGCCCAAAAGTAGAAATATTTCGACTTGGGAAGGTCAAAAGTCGAAATTAAAGTCGAAATGGTCGAAATTACATCATAGTCATATGATTTTTATAATTATAATTTAATATAAAATTTTAAACATGAATAACTCCGTCAATATTGATGGTACAGATATGATATACATATCATTGGAATCCTCTCGATGAGCTGAATCCAACCGAATAAAGATCATAAAAATCGAATCACTGGATGCGGAGATCGTTAACTTTGAATTTTAATATTATTGTTTACTATAAAATCATATGACTATGACGTAATTTCGACCATTTTGACTTTTGGAGGGGCTCAAGTCGAAATCATTTCGACCATTTCGACCATTTCGGAGGTCAAAATTAACCAATTTCGGTTTCATGTATAATTCAGAGCCGATTTCCTATAAAAAATATAAAAAATGTTAAAATTAAACGTTTTTTATGAAAGTTTCGAAGTTAGAAGAACTTTAAAACTTTACCTATAGAATTGGCCAATTCAGAGCCGATTTCCTATAAAAAATATAAAAAATGTTAAAATTAAATGTTTTTTATGAAAGTTTCGAAGTTAGAAGAACTTTAAAACTTTACCTATAGAATTGGCCAATTCAGATTTCAGAGCCAATTTCCTATAAAAAAATATAAAAAACGTTAAAATTAACATTTTTTATTAAGTTTCAAAAATACGAAGATTTTGCTAATCAAAGCCCCACACTTTGGTGTTCTGGACCTACAAAATTAAGAACAAACGTTAGTTAGCGTTCGTTAAAATAGAGTAAATAAAATAAAAAATTTTGAAGGTTCATACCTTCGGAATGGAAGACCGAAATTTGTCTATCGGCTTTCCAGCCCTACAAAAAATAAGAATGAATGTTAGTAACGTTCGTTATATAAATTAATAAAATCTTTCAGTTTTACCTTCTGAAACCTGACCGAGGAGATTTTGCCGATTTCCCTACAAAAAGGAAAAAAAGTTAACAGTTTTTTTAAATAAAGTTTTGAAAATTTTATTTCAAAACTTACCTGGAATTCGGTATCCAAGCTTCGGAGCCGATTTCTTACAAAAAAATAAAAAAAAAACGTTAATAAACGTTTTTTCATTAAGTTTCGAAAAGAAACTTCGAAACTTTACCTGTGGATTGGTATCCAAATCAGAGCCAATTTCTTACAAAAAAAAAATAATAAAAAATAATAAAAAAAACGTTTTTTTATTAATTTGCGTCAAAAAGTTTTGAAAATCGAAACTTTACCTGCGGGATTCCGGTACAATTTGGAGCTGATTTCCCTGCAAAAAAAATAATAAAATTTAATAAAAAAACGTTAATTTAAACGTTTTTTTATTAAATTTCGTAAAGTTTCGAAACTTCGAAACTTTACTTGCGGGATTCCGGTATCCAATTTGGAGCCGATTTCCTGCAAAAAAAATTAATAAAAATAACAAAAAAACGTTAATTTAAACATTTTTTTATTAAGTTTCGTAAAGTTTCGAAACTTCGAAACTTTACAATAATGTTAAAAAAAAACGTTTTAAAAAACGTTTTTTTCAAAGAAGTTTCGAAAATATTTCGAAACTCATCTGGAATATCAGCGTCCACGTTGGAGCTGATTTCCTATACAAAAATAAAAAAAGAAAAACGTTTTTAATATTAAAAAACGTTTTTTAAGTTTTGAAACATATGTTTTGAAACGTACTTTTGGAATTCGGTATCCAAGTAGGAGCTGATTTCCTATATAAAAGTATAAAAAAAAAATGGTAGAAACGTTTTTTTTTATAAAGTTTTGAATTTTTTTTTTGAAACTTATCTGGAACATCGGTATTCACGCCGGAACCGATTTCCTTACAATAATATAAAAAAAACGTTTTTTACGTTAGAAAACGTTTTTTTTATAAAGTTTTGAAGAAATTCTTCGAAACTTACCTTTGGAGTTCGGCATCCAAGTAGGAGCCGATTTTCTACATAAAAGTATAAAAAAAAAATGGCAGAAATGTTTTTTAAAGTAATAGTTTTGCAAAAAAAAAAATTAATAAAATCAGAACGTTAACTAATGTTCCGATTGAAAATATTAAATGAAAAGTTAAAAAATGTTTCGTAAAAAATAAAAATGTTAAAAATTGGAACATTATTTCTAAAAAAAAATCCCAAAACGTTTAAAACCGTTTTGTTTAGGAATGAGGTTAGATAAAGATAAAGTTTCAAAACTTTAGTTTAAATAAAGTCTAAATTCGGTAATAGATCAACTAATTGATAAACCATTAAATTTACTGTGGCTGCGGCTTGCTATATAAGTTGATTTTGAAAAATCGTTTATTCAATTATTTACATTATCGATATTCTACCAATTTTTATAAATCGACCATAAATCATATATGTCAAAATTTGAATAACTTCTGA